TACAGTCACACACTCCAGCAAATTATCCACCACCCTTGACATTTTCTTCACTTTCTTACAACAAAAGTTTTTATCTGTGTACAAGGCCACACCACCTCCCATCTTATTTTCCCAGTTTGTGCATACCAAGTTATAGCCATCAAGGTCAAAATCCATTCCCCTTACATTATTCATCCAAGTTTCAGAAATAGCAATTATATTAAAAGAATGTGTAAGACTACTAAGATAATGTTTTATACTCTGAAAGTTTGCGTATAAACTTCTGCTATTAAAGTGAATTAATGATAATTTGTTTTCAGTCTTAACATTGCTGTTAAACTGCTCATCCGTGTAATACTTGCAGTTATTTTCAGAGTTCTTAAAAAAGTTTTTTTCAGGGTCAAAGTCATCGTCCGATTCATGATAATGTTGTTCAGTGTCTCCAATTGTGTTCAGTTCCAGATCCAGTCCCTCAAAAACTATTAACCTCTGTAGGAAATCACTTGCCTCATTCATATTTCCCCTGCTTGGATGGCTCACCAAAGATGGCAACTCCCAAGACAACAAATATTCAGCAAAAATATCCAATTCACTTTGTTGTGGAGTAGCTTTATCTCTGTTCCTTTGAGTCTCCACTGTGTTTCAACTATTCCTCTGGGGTCCAAAGTTTAAACTCCAACACAACAACACAACACACCCAGCCAGCTAGTATGCTTTGCCCCCATTGGCTGTGAGAAGATACAATCTGATCGGTAGCCATGAGTACACAGCTGAGGAACTTCAGGAGTTTGTATATCTGGAGACAGACTACATGAAGTCACCACGGAGATGTAAAACACAAGATAGGTCAAAGTCTGCTGTTTCTTTTCCTTTTATGTATTTTTTTTTTTTGATAGCGTATTGACGTGAGGATAGTTCTGACCTTTGGCATATATTTATAACACAATAAACACAGAGTGGCCAGGTCTTAGAAAGCAAGTCAACAATACTGGTTTTAAAAATATCATGGAATAAGAGCATTTCTACAGAGCTGCACTAGTGCTTTGTAATTAACACACACAATTACATGTTATGTATGTGTCTCAAATTATATTGGTTAATAGAAAAACATTTACTTGTTTGGTAAAGTAAATAAATAATGTTTTACACATAATTGATCCATTAGTGTTTTATGACAGTTCTTGAGGAAACTAGATTATGTAGACCTTAAAGCACAAATAAAACATGAAAATGCTGCATGAAAATATAATTACACAGAAACAATTTGCACCCCCTCTAGAATCTATGCGCTTTGATTGAGGGTTTAATTTTTTCTACAAAAGCTTGAAAAAGCAAACAAAAAACCAAAAAACTATTAAATAAAATAACTGTATAGGAAAGCACAAACTCAGATAATCAAAGTTAACAAAACCCATCTACTATCACCTCTAAAGGAGGAAACAAGAATCTGACATTTTTACATGATGTACAAATTAAGTCCAGTCCTATTATTTTGAGAGGAGCTCGTAGGCAAAATTTCTCAATTTTCAGGCCGAGTCAGACTAGCTGTTTCCCCTGTTTTTGGTCTTAGTGCTAAGTGATGCTAACTAGCTGCTGGTTCTAGCTGCATATGCACTGTAGAGACATGAATCTTCTCATCTAACTCCCAGCAAGAAAGGCCGTGAGCACACTTCTCAAAATGTCAGGCTAATCATGTAACTCACATAGCTTCTTCTAAAAATCTCTATGATCTTGTGTGCGAGGTACATGAGGTGTCAGAAACACCACTTCGCTCTGTTCCACCAAAATTTTATCCTCACATCCTCTCTGATCTCACAACCATGTAGAAAGGTAGAATGAGGTCACTGGCAATAACCTTCATTTTATCAAAGTACATTTTTTGCAGCTGGAGATTGGAATAGGTTCATTTAATTTGGTGGCATGAATCTACTGTTGCAGCAGTATAACAACACAAACTACACTAAACTTAGCAATACAACCTCAGCAGGTGCCTCAGCAGCCGTGGAGGCTTTTGTGATGGAGCAGTAGCAGCAAAGCAGTGGTAGTGAGTATGAGTGAAGGCCTTTAAATAGACAACCAGATTTGTGCTGAGATTTGATGGGAACAAAAAGCTAGCTGTCAGCTGGCACAGTCCAGAATCTTAGTATTGTCCCAGAAGTAGTTCATTTAAAAAAAATAAATTATATAATTATTCCAAAGGTTCCAAAGGGCAAATAATTACTGCTCAGTGTAAATACATGAATGGGGGGTAGGGATCTGTTGAGCTCACGTTTCATGGCCTCATTTTTATTTTGGTTATCAACAGCATTATCAGATAGCGTTTCATGTGCCACCAGGGGGTTCTTCCCACTTATCTCTATCTGCTTGTGTGTGTTGTCCCTGATCAATGATACTTTACCAGCTAAAGGCTTAGTTGTGCCATGATTTCTAAACTGGAATTTTAAAACCACAGCAGTAATTGTGTAATGGAGCACACAAAGACAAATTCAGTGTCTACTGTAAGATGAGGTGAAACACTGTACTAAATGTTGAAGTGAAGACTGTTGCTATTTTTATTTTATTTGTTTATTATTACAGGGACACATGCAACTAAACATTATCACTCTCGATCAACTGACACTGTGCATATAGGGCTTCTAGCTAAAAGCTCCTCAACCTAGTTAGGCTTTTAAAAAACAGGTATACTGTCAGGATGGGCCAGTACAGCTATCCACAATGGTAATAGTGGACTCAATTATAAAGCCAGGCGAGATAGAGTAAATAATATCACTTTACTGCACTCACTCAGAAAAAACACAGTGACAGTCCAGAAACCATAATCCAAGTCACACAACAGTCCAGGGTCAATACCGGCAAAAGAACACAGGCCAAGGAATCCAAAATGGGAGGCCAAAGAAGCCGGTAGCAGTCGGTACACAGAATAAACATACAACAATCAGGAGGGCTAGGCAGAAATCTATGGTCAGGAAACAATTTGGGGTCAAGAACATGAATCACTAAAACAAGGACAACAATGAGAAGTCTGCACAGAGTCCAGAACAATCTGGCAGGTTACTGGTGGGAGAAGGCTGCTTATAATGGGGTGAAAACAGGTGTAGGCAATGAGCACTGATTACAACAAAAAGTCCATAACAGAGATGAACCTAGAACAGGGAGTGGCAACAAAAGAAGAGCCTGAAACAGGAAGCAGTAGGACAGAACCCTGACAGTATACTAGCAGCATACTGGCTTTAAGAATGGCTATTTTAAACTAATGGTGGGTCAATCACAAGATGAACTCTCTCAACAATTACTGAATGAATTACCACAAAATTTTGTACAAACAATCTTAGGTCCCAGAGGATAAGTCTTTGTGATTTTAGTAATCCCCTAACTTTTTGTGTGTGCCACAATTAGGCTTACATTTGTGATTTGGGCGAAATCTAGTAGAACTTTGACTAGAAGAATTAAGTGGCTAATAGGCTGTGCACTGTAAATAAAATGAAGATAAATAAAGAGTGTGTCTGTCTGCTCACAAGATCTCAGTCCACTCTCACATCAAACATTAATCACGGTCATCAGCTAATAGTGCATCTGCCAATCACACAAGGTATCGCTTATCATCTGACTCTGAGTAAACTATTAGCATATCAGACCATCTGCATTAACTCACTTCAGCAAGGTAAGGTTGATGTCAAGGCTATATGAATAACTGATCTGAGATCTGTGTGATGTCCTTTTTTAAAGGAGAGAGTCACACTCAAAAGAAGAAAATAAAAAAGAAGCACAATTTCTTCACACAGAATAAGAAAGCAGCTGCAAGCAGTTGTTTCTAGACCCAAAGCTGAACCCTGCTTGCCAGTAGCACTGAATAGATGGTATTAGTCAATTATTTGATCATAATCATAAACAAATGTGATGATCTTTTAATTGTTAAAGTAATTTATCAAATAACAGCACCAAATCTAGACTTTTGAAATATTAAGACTTATGTTTTTGTTTTGTATCATTTATATCTTAATGATACAATTTAATTCCTTTGAGCTTTTTAGTGTTGCGTCACAAAATGAGCATTTATTTTATTGGGATCAGGTAATTTGTCAATATATTTAAAAATTTGTAGTTGATGATAATATAACGATTCACAAATTATCATTATTACTATTATTATTATTATGTAACTATAATCCACAATTGTCCAAAGTATTACCAGACACAATAGGGACAAATATGATGGCCATTACCTTAACCAAGGTTGAGTTCATTTATTAACATTCATCAAATTCAGTGAGTTTTAACCACAAAACCACTGTTGAAGAGCTTGACCTCTACCAAAAGCAATCCACAGGTTCATGTTTGCCCACCATTTAATTATCTTCACAATAAAACATGTCTATTTCTGGCAGAATGTTGCTAAGGACCCTGCTAGTTTTGTTGCAGTGGCATGTAGAATAACAGCAGGCACAATCAAGTATGGTTGTATCAGCAAAATGCACAGTTAAGAATTGAAAAGTAGGGGCTACTTAAATATAATGAGCTAAGTGGTTTGGTGCGAAACAGCGATATAAATAATAATATCACAAATTGTATCACATGTTAATGATCTGTAATGAAATCGGTTCATCATTAAAATACATCAGCCTCTGCTGTGATCTAGTACAGTAATCAGAAGAGAACACATCCTCTTAAAAATAATGAGTCACCCCTCTCAAAACCTTCAAATTGCTTTATTTAAAGGTTTTTGTTTTTGAAGTGGCTTAGTTCTTACATTCATTTGGAAATTTTTATATTTTTTAGTGAGGCTGCAACAAACTTGAATTTCACTGCTTGCGAATGCAATAGTCCATCTGTGTTAGTCCTGTGTGGCCAGTGTGTGCATGTCATAAATTGCAGGACGAGCAAAACACATCACTACACTAATCCACAATTGCTAATTTGGAAGCAACAGTATTTATTTGTGTGCTTGTCCATCATGTATGTTATATGCATGGTTATAAGTCACACTGGATGTCACAATAAATGTCATACCTCTAACAGCAGAAAGCCAATATTTATGCAAAAAGAACACAGGGGTGGCATTATGCCAACAAACTGCAATAGAGAAGGGTAAGTGTATTGCCAATATAGTGTATCACTGTCTAAAAGGGGCTACTAGTGTTTGATGAGATGGCTTCAGCCCCCTGTGACTGTGAACAGAATAAGTTATTCAGAAAATGGATGGAATATGTTCCCTGAAGTGATCATTTTAAGCCCTGTGTGATATTTCTATAGTTATTATTCTCGTTATTCTTTAAGATTTACTGTGCTGGGGACATGTGTACTGTAGATGAAACGTACTGTAAACCACAATCTAAAGTAGTCAAAGCTGAGAAACAAGTGTTTTTTAAAAAAACTTAGATATTCCTGATGTTTTCAAATGCTGTTTGCAATGTGCTCAAGTTGTAATCAACTCTTAGACTTGAATGACAGAAACTTAACTGCTTACGTTTCCACAGGCCTCATTCTGCTCATTTATTGTGGCTCACTGGTCTGTTTGGTTGACCCAGTAAGCCTCAGTCACTGTAACTGCACTCTATCAAGTGAAAAAAATGGCTTAGAGAGGTAAAGTAAACAAGGCAAGGTGAAAAGAGTCATTTAGAAAACTATAACACCTAGTATTTTTTGTAAGATGTGGATGCATTAAAACTAACATAACAGCACGTATTGGACTCACATTTATAAGAGACGACAAACATGGCTCAAGTTGCTTTTTGTTTGATGGATGTTGCAGATGTTTGCTAATGCCTTAGCTTTAAGAACACAAGTGACTGGTTGTTTGAAAAAATTGTTGGAATTTGTCTGTCTTGTAGTGACCAAAATTACTAATGCAGTTTCACCTGGCTTTTGGCATCACTAGCTGACACAACAGGCATTTTTGATCAATTTGGAATTAGAGCAGGTATCACAAATAACTGTTATTGCTCAGTTTGACTTATCTTTGCCAGTATGTCATTTTAGTGAGCCAGAATGCAGAATAACAAGGCCCTACAGTGCCACAATGGCACTTTAATCAAGTTCAGCCACTATTAATATTGCACCTGTTTGACAAGTCAAACCTTTTGTGCTTTGACAGAGGCCTGTTCTTCTTTCTAGGTCTATCCATCTATCTCTCTGCCACAAAGATCTTTTCATGCATACAGTTCACATGCTAAAAACAGTACATATGCTTTAGAAAAAAAACTGAATGAAGATCTGGTTTTTTGAAATTTCTAACATGGCATTTTGCAGGAGGGAGTCTCTGCCTCATTCAGAGTCTGCTTAGAGCTTGCCCACAAACATACTATGGGGACTTCTTCTCCCAGCTGAGTTTAGAAATCAGACATGGCAGAGCTTAAAGGGTTCTGCTCAAAAGGAAATCCATGTTGCTCTGCTCTCTTGTCACAGTGAGAGCCTATGGTCCATACTTTCTTTTATGCTGGAGAAAATATTCAGATCCATTATGTAAATATAAGTAGCAATAGACACTGAAAAGTATTCCATTAAAAATACTCTATGTGATATTTAGGACACAGTTTTAGGAGAACTTGCAATAAGTAATAATAGGTTAGTCATTATTTACACTCAGGTGTCCTCACATGACTGGTACGACTGAAGAGGAAAATCACAGTAGAATGTAGCTTCCATCTGGTGGTTAGAACCTGTAAGTACAAATTCAGCCTTCGTTCAAGAGCCAAATGTTTTATTATATCCTGATGTGCTGTTACCCATGTAACCATGATAAACAAGCAAACTTTACAAGTGTTGTAAAGGTGAACATTCTAGCACATTAACTGCTTATATTGTCTGTGCTTTCAGATTTGTACTGTTATTATTATTATTATTTTTCATTTTAAAATTCCTCTGTGAAAACCGAGATCATTATCCTTCCTACGTACCATCTGGATCACATTCTTTAACTCTTCTACATCTTCTCTTTTAAAATGGCAAGAATTTAAATGTGACTCACTTGTAACTTCACAGTGATAGTTTTGGGTTTCTGTGACATATCCATAGAAAAAATGAAATATTCTCTTTATAAAATAGACAAGGTTAAGCCCAAGATACAGGGAAGGAAGATACAAACTGTGAACTCCATGTAGTCTAGTCTGCTGACATAATGATGTTATTCAGGAGATAATTGTATTAATATGACAACAGCAGCAGCCCAGACAATCTTGAAATTGAGGGAGCTGTAAAGGTTCCTCAGATCACAGCATAGCATGAAAGACAAGATTGCTCTGCTTATTTCTGTACTGCACAACTAAACTGCAACACTCACAGTAGGCTCAGTGATAGGATTCCTAAAGAGGCACATGACAAAATTAATCTTCAAAATGTCAAGATTGTATTTCCAGTGATTCCTGCACTTCCATTATTCTGTAAGTCAGTTAACTTACAAGAAACCTGGTGCAGGAAAAGAGCCAGTTTTAAGCTCCTCTGTAGACTGAGAACAATCTGCTGTGTTTAATAGTAGTCACATACTGGATTTGGCTCTGCCTAGAGCTTTAGCCAACTCAGCCTGCTGCCATAAACTAAGCAGAAGCAATTAATAGCTACACAGATCAGCCATAACATTATGACCTCCTGCCTAATATTGTGCAAATCCTCCTTGTGCTACCAAAACAGCTCTGACTCATTGAGACATGGACTCCAGAAGACCTCTGAAGGTGTCCTCTGGTATCTCACAACAAGATGTTAGCAGCAGATCCTTTAAGTCCTGTAAGATGTGAGTTGGAGCCTTCATGGATTGGACCAGTTTTTCCAGCACATCTCACAAATGCATGATTAGATTGAGATCTGGAATATTTGGAGGCCAGGGCAACACTTTGAACTCTTTGGACTGTGGTTTCTCTTCAAACCATTCCTGAGCAATAATTGCAGCCTGGCCGGGAATGTTATCCTACTGAAAGAGGCCACTACCATAAGATGATACCGTTGCCATGAAGGGGTGTACTTGGTCTGTAAAAATGTTTAGCTAGGTGCTACATGTCAAAGTAACATTGGCATGAATGTCAGGACCCAAGAGTTCTCAACAGAAGATTGCCCAAAGTGTCACACTGACAAAATTAATCTTCAAAATGTCAAGATTGTATTTCCAGTGATTCCTGCACTTCCATTATTCTGTAAGTCAGTTAACTTACAAGAAACCTGGTGCAGGAAAAGAGCCAGTTTTAAGCTCCTCTGTAGACTGAGAACAATCTGCTGTGTTTAATAGTAGTCACATACTGGATTTGGCTCTGCCTAGAGCTTTAGCCAACTCAGCCTGCTGCCATAAACTAAGCAGAAGCAATTAATAGCTACACAGATCAGCCATAACATTATGACCTCCTGCCTAATATTGTGCAAATCCTCCTTGTGCTACCAAAACAGCTCTGACCCATTGAGACATGGACTCCAGAAGACCTCTGAAGGTGTCCTCTGGTATCTGACAACAAGATGTTAGCAGCAGATCCTTTAAGTCCTGTAAGATGTGAGTTGGAGCCTTCATGGATTGGACCAGTTTTTCCAGCACATCTCACAAATGCATGATTAGATTGAAATCTGGAATATTTGGAGGCCAGGGCAACACTTTGAACTCTTTGGACTGTGGTTTCTCTTCAAACCATTCCTGAGCAATAATTGCAGCCTGGCCGGGAATGTTATCCTACTGAAAGAGGCCACTACCATAAGATGATACCGTTGCCATGAAGGGGTGTACTTGGTCTGTAAAAATGTTTAGCTAGGTGCTACATGTCAAAGTAACATTGGCATGAATGTCAGGACCCAAGAGTTCTCAACAGAGGATTGCCCAAAGTGTCACACTGCCTCCCCCGGATTGTTCACCTGCTGCCTAATATACCCCACACACTGACTGGTGCTATTGTAACAAGATAAACAATGTTACTCACTTCACCTGCCACAGGTTTTAATATTCCGGCTGATTAGTTGTAACGTAGAGTGGGATAATTGAGAATCTGAGAAACATTCAACCATTTTAATTTGTAATGGTAAAAGAGTTTTGGACATGTTAGATATTAATTATACAAGAGATGCACTTTTTAAGTTCCCTTGCTGTAGTTCAACTTTAACATATTTTAGAGTACTGTGGGTGAAACAGAGTTGGTGTAATCATAGTTTAGCACATGATTATTAAGACAGCAAGTCAGAATGAACCCAGCTGCAAGAGTCAGCCAGTTTTCTGCCACCTCTCCGTTAATGGCTACATTCATGCTCCATCCTAACTGGAATTAAAAGTGTGCAATTGGGTTACTCAAATGCTTGAATAGTTTGTGTGCTTTTTCATCTCTGTTTGTCAACCCAGGATGCAGTATCATATTAGAACAAATTCACTGTCACTGTTCCACTTTGTGTAGCCTAATTTTATTTTTTTTATTTGGTTTTTGGATTATATTTAACAGAGCCCATCTTTTTAATGGTTAAAACAGGACCAACATTAGGAAAGACATGCTGTAGTACCTCTCTTTAGTAGAAATTAAAAACCTTTAGAGAAAGTTTGTGGCAACACTTCAGCCTGGTTTTATCACATCTCATCAGCCTGTTAAGTCACTGGTCCATAAAAATGTCTCCAGTGTCTCCCTAATTTTCTTGAACAACACCTTTCAGTTGAATGAGCTTGCTTTGCAATGCAGAACCAGAGTGCAATGGTAAATTAGGCACCAAGGGGACACCTCCAACTCTTACTGTTTATTAAACTACAGCTACAGTTTCAAAACTTCACCATGCCAAAAACTGTTCCCTCAACGGCAAGGTGCTGCACATTTTGTTTTATCAGGTTCCTCATTCACTCACAGACTTTAACTCATATCTAGGTGGCATATGGCAAGTTTAATGGTGTATGCTCTTTGTGTCAGTGTGCACTGCTGTGTTTGCACACAATATGCAAGTGAGATGCTAGATGCAGAGAATAATGTTGCATTTGAATAATTAGGAAGTGTGTGGCCGGGTACTACTCAAGTTGTCACACTGTGGGGACTCAATGGCCTTAATGGGGCAAAAAGTAAGTCATAAAAAGCTAAACGTAAAACATGACATTACAGAGTGATGACTTGGTTCAAGGTTATGGTGACCCTAGGGTTAAGCAAATAGTGGTTATGATAAAAATTAGGTTAAATCTCCAGGAAATGAATGTAAGTCAATGTAATGTCCCCTGAAGTTATGGAAACATAGCACTTCTGTGTGTGTGTGTGTGTGTGTGTGTGTGTCTGCCTGTACTAACTGTATGTCTACAAGAGCACACAGAATGCAGAATTACTCCCACAGCTACATGTATCTCCCTCTGGGCCCTCCAGACTTCCCAAGCGGAACAGATCGAGCCAGGGTCCAGACTGGTTAACAAGCAGAAGAATAAACTCCAGCCAGTTAAATTGTATGTAACTTTTTAGTTTGCAACCAATAGTGTGACCTTTATCGATTTCTTGTCTCTGCCTTCAGCTTAACAAAACACTAATGGCACTTGTCAATAAAAAAACATGAAGTCCTCAATACCCCTCCCTCTGGGTTGACCACAGTCCTAAAAATAGCCCTTCATCCTCCCTTAGAGGCTGCTGCTATGACAGGTCAGTACTTTGATTCAATAGGAGCTGCATGTCCCTCTTTGTTTCCTCACTACAAGTCTAAGTAGATTAACATTGTTGAGCCATTCACCACACACATCTGCTTTGACTTCTGTCCCTACCAACTCTCATTCAGATTGCCACCATATCCAGTGAGTATCCTACCTTTTTTAATCAATAAATTTATAATACAATGATTGAAGCATAAAATAACACCCTAACTTGGGCGTGCAAATGGAAAACAAAGAAAGTTTCAGCAACTGTATATTATACAGGGCTCTGGGACCTACTGCTTCAAAAAATTACATTCACATTTCAAGAGAACAAGTTTACAATACAATATGCTGTGTGTGCAGCTACCGCCCACTGTTTTATTGACTGGTAACGTCATGAGCATGTGTACCCCTGCTCATGTCCTTCGCTTGACACTCACACTTATTGAACTTTGTAGAAATATTATGAGGTCAACAGAGCTGGAATTATCCCAGCTTCCCTCCCAGTGAAAGCAACTATCTAGTTCTATCCAGTTGGGATGGCCCACATTTTCCCAAAACTCACTCCTGAACTGTGTTGGCTGGTCTGCTTCTGCTACATACAAAGGGCCTTGAGATGTGAGCATTACAGGTATACTCCTGAATACAAAATAACAGAAGCACCTGTAGGAGATTATCTCACACAGCCCTTCGTAAGATGAAATTCTGGGAGGGGACCCTGGTGGTGCCACGCCTCCACTGTAAGACAAGCAGCAGCAGCAGCAGCAGTATTGATTCACCTTGTAGCCTTGAGCCTGCTGTCACAAACAGTATATCACTTTATTTAAGCCGCTGTTAAACAGGCTGTAATTAGAAATCTGTCTAACAGATGTGTTTCAGTTATAGGGTGGTTTGTAGCTAAGTTGCAATCCAAGCTACACTTCCTGTTGTGCATTCATTGGCCAGTGACACTATATTATTTTGATGATAGATTTGGATCTGAATGCTATTGACAGTGTTTGCAAAGAGAAGGCAAATGATGCAAATAAACCCTCTCTAGGGGGATTAGCCTGCATGCTATTTGAAAAGTACTTACAGTAAGTCTCTTAATTGTGGTTAATGTTTGCTGATTCCCTGACTGACTCTAATGACCAATTGCAGATTGTTATACTACTTGCCTCATAAATAGTGCTCTTGACAGTAGCAGCATTTACTGTACAACATGGTAACCAATTATCTTTTCATTTCTAACATTTAATGTGGCAGAGGCACATACCAGTTGGCATTTGAACTTTAAATTGTGTTTTAATATAATATATTTCACCACAATGAGCATGCATTTTATAATTCAAACTTTAAGATCTATGCAGTATACAGTATACAATATGCATTTTAACCCTTGTATTTTGTTTTGGGTCAATACAGTGTGACCCCAGAGCCACTTAAGCTGTTTAAAAAATATATTTACCATACATAGCCATGATACTTATTGGCTTTTCCTAATTTTGTGAAATCTTTGTGGATTTTGACTTGACATTAATGTTTTATATAGGATGTCTGCAATCAAGCGACTATGCACTGTTGATGTTTGAAGTCAAAATGACCCTAGTGATAAACTCCATTAAGTGTTAAACTCCATTAAGTGCTATGGATTTTATGGATGCTTTGAGTCTCTGGTTGATGTACCAAGTAATACTGGTCAAAACAAAAATGTTCACACACATTCAGAATGGTCTGTTGGACCCAGTGAGGAGTGTCCCTGGCCATAAGCCTCTGTAATTTACACACCAATAGTGAACATAACCAGCAGACTTATTTTTTGCACCCACATTCATCCTAACATTCACAGACATGCCAGATTTTATGATTTCTTTGACTTGAAAACTACTTTTATAATTGTAGACCTACTATTTTATCTTAAGAGACAGAAGAAGTTACTAAAGACATTTCTCAAGTTATATACTGAAAAAAGTCAAGGTACTTTTATGGCACTTTTAACTTTGTAACACTTTACACTTTTCTCCACCACATTTCAGAGGGAAATTTTACTTGTTTCAGATACATCATTTCAGTAGTCAGTTAAATTTCATCCACTTACTGTACAGCAGATTTTGTAGTACTTTGCTGTACATAGTGTACTGTCAGACTCAGCATGACCCACAAG